GGCCAAAACAAAACTTGAACAAGCAAAACACATTCCTACTTCTTCAACAAAACATTAAAATATTAGCTGAAAAGTCTAAAGTCGGCAAGTGGATGAAATTTAAAATTTTCAAAGAGACAGGTGTCGGCTGGAGAGAAACTACAAACCTCAAAAATTCCATGGAGTTGGTGGGTGGAGTAGTTGTAGAGGAAAAGGGGCAACCCCGGAGTTATCGCCCTCACTGAATCACGGTAACGTGGAGGCAAACCTGCAAAAGAATTATGCAGAAAAACAAAATTAACACAAATTCATCAAATCAATTCCTTTTTTGAAGCAAACCCAATTGAAAAAACAAAATTATGGAAATAAAAATCAAAAGGGACATACCAAAAAGCTGCCTCTTGAGATTTTCTTGCATGGTATCATTGTTGCAGACAAAGATATATCCACCAATGATTTCATTTCTAGGCAGAGACTCAGCTGGTGGCAGAGTCTTGAACCTTTTGTCCACAGCGCCCTTGCTGTCCTTGTTGTTGTCATCTCCACCAGCTTTCTTCTTGCTAGAATTGTTGTTGTTCTTCTTCCCAACTTTGCCGCCATGAACAAGATCTTCCTCATGAGCCTTGTTCTTGTAGGGCTTCAAATTGACCATATTGTTGTTGTTGTTGTAAATTGCAGGCTTGGAGTAAATCCCCTTGTTGAAGCCGCCATTGAGCTGCGAGCCGCCGCCAAGAACCTGCCCAGCAGCAGCAGCAGAGGCACCAAGCTTCCAGCCCTCGTTAAAAGCGTTAAATTCTGAAGCTTTTGGCTTGAAATTGTTCCATCTGTCGTTGAAGCCATTGTTGAGCTCTGAAGCTTTTGGCTTGAAGCTGTTCCAGCCATCGTTGGAGCCGTTGGAGTCAGAGGACCCTTTTGGCTTCAGATTGTCGACCCAAGAGTCGTTGAAACCATTGAAGTCAGACCCTTTTGGGGTCAAATTGATCAGAGGACTGACATCGCCGCCTACCTTTATATCGAAATTCCTCCTTTCATCAGGCCTCTTGCTGTACGAATTGCTCCAAATCGAATCATTAACTGTGAGATTTGCAAAGTTGGTGCCTTGAACACGAAGCTGATCGCTGAATTGCCAAAACGACTGGTTGTTGTTGTTGTTCTCCATTTTGTATCAAAATCCGATGAAGAAACTACAAAACTGGATCTGGGTTGTTGAAAGATTCGAGCTTTATGCAGCGTGTGTGAAGTTTAAGAGGATCCCAGAACAGAGGGAGAGAGAGAAGAAGAGGGGAGGTGAGAAAATATGATAGAGGAAGTGGGTGAGGTGTGGAATGTTAAATAAAGGGTATAACTTTTACTATTGAGATCATGAGGAAGGAAATTTCTAGGAAAGGACAAATGGGGTTTAAAGATTGCGTGTTGATTTGTCAAAGGAAGAAAGATCCAAAGATTTTATTTACTTTTTTGAAGGGAAATTAAGCCAAATAAAGAACAGAATAAGCTTCTGTGATATTAAGTTGGAGCTAAAAAGATGGGTGATGAAAGCAAAAACGCGTTAAGACGTGGGAGAGAGAGAGAGAGAGAGAGAGAGAGAGAGAGAGAGAGAGAGAGAGATGGAGGGAGAGGTGGCAGATGGAGAGGAGGAGAGAGAGTAAGAGAGAGAGAGAGTGTTTGAGTAGAGGGGGTGTTTTGAATTGGTACCATTTCTAGAAGGTCTAGGAGGTTCGGTGGAGTTTGAGAGAGAGTTCACACTTGACTGCGAAGTTTATTTGCTTCGGAGCTAAGACTTGAAAAAACAAAAAAAAATGGACAGGACGCGTAGAACTATGAGTATTTATGTGACTTGGCCATGGGGCTTACACGTCTCAATCAAGCTTCTACACGTGAAGGAGGGTTTGGGGAGCTATATAGTATTTGGAGAAAAAATTGGTATTTTACTATACCCGTCAATAACGTTAAAGTTATCACGCATGTTGAATGGGTATAGCAAAACAGTGTTATCCTCATTTCATGCTGGTGTTTCTCATAGTATTTGACATCCTACCAAATATTTGTTGTGTATACTTATTTGGTCCTATAGGAAATGGTATTGATATAAGATAAGAAGCATGCTAAGCCATTATGTTATTTAGAAAACAAAACAAAGAGGAAGAAAAAAAAGGGTTAAATTATGATAGAGAAATGCTAACTATTTTTCCCATTTCACTCCTTATTTTATAGATTATAGAGAAATTTGCATGAATACCACCTGAATTTTGTAAAGTGTTGAAATTTACTACCTACATCTAACTCAGTTTAATTTATAACTAAATTTTTTTTTAAAATTAAAATAAAATATTCTTTTTTTTGGGGGAAAAAATCCAACTAATTATCTCACAACCTCCCCAACCCCTTCTAACCCCCAGTGCCAACTTGCCAAGTAGTCCCGTCCCCTACCCTCCCTCTAACTCCCCTCCTTCTATCTCAACCAAAGCCAAAAAAATTAGTATCGGTTTTTGAAGAATTGATTGCCAAATTAAATGAATTAGTCTCACGCCACCATGAATGAATTAGTCTCGGGCAGTATCTCATCAATCCTGGTGCTCAACCTTCAAACAAACTCACATTCACTTGTTACCTAATGAAAAATATCCATTATACGTACAGAAAATCCAATATCTCTATTTGCAATTAAAGAAATGTCAACGTCTTCCTTCAAAATTATAAAACCCTTACCAATTTTTTATATATAAAAAAGTCATGAGTCCACGGGTATGGCAAATCACAAAATTGCACTCTCACCATTCACCATACATATCTATAAAAGGAATACCACACACGCGTAGGAAACACATGGCTGCACGAGAGAGAGAGAGAGAGAGGGGCTGCTCCCGAAACTCTCATGCAACGGGAATAGCACTTTTTGCTATCCCGGCCAATAACGCAATGACATGTAGGATAACTTTTCCACATGTCATTATGTTATTGGCTAGGAATAACAAAATAGTGTTATCCCCGTTTCAGATGTAAGTTTTTTTGCCGCAATAGAGGTTTAAAGTTGTTAGAAGGGGTGGCGGGAGAGGTGGGATAATTAGGTTTTTTCTTCTTCTTCTAATTTTGTTAGTTATATTGAATTGAAAAAATTATCCTTCAGCAAATGACATATGTATATGTATAGTATGTGACTTAACTTAGGAAATTTTAATGCAAATTTTCCTCATTATGCGATGTTGTTTATAATTGAAGGTTCATAATCGTCTCATTCATAAGCAACACTTCTTGTAAACCATTTATATATAAAAAAATCAATCAAATTGAAAATCGTTTAGTCACATAACTGTTATTCAATAAACAAATCAACCAATGTTTGAATTAAACACTGAAATAAACCAATGTTTGTATTTGTGGATTACAACACACGAAAGTAAATGGAAGAGCATTGAGATGAATGCTTGTGGGTCTTGTGGCCCAGATTAGGATCATGATTCTATCCAAAGTCAACTAGTCAAAAGCCAACCATGCCACAACAAACCCACAATTGCTAGCCATGGAGGCTTAAGCACCAATTGAACCAAGCTTCTTTTGGAAAGAAAAACCACCCACTTGTTAAATTGACAGAAAATGAAAGAAGACGAAGAAGAATATCAACTTGTCCCATTCTGCAAGAAGTTTACACACCAATGAGGCGATGTTAAATGTAACTAATTCTAATAATCCTCTTCACATGATCCTCAAAATTATACATAAACCGAATATCCTAAGCTCTGTTTTTTTTTTTCTAATGCCAACAGAATATTCTTGCTTGATAGAAGATAAAAGAGCATTGTAAAAAGAAAAAAAGGATTAACGCTTTAATCGACACAATTTTTATAAAATATGTTATATTGTCAGACTTTCGACGTGTGTGCCTAGGTAGAGGACATTTAGAGAAAAAGTTGTTCGTAATGTTTTAAACCTTAGCTTACAACATGACACACCATTAAAATTGTACATAATGAGGTGTTTGCTTTGATGTTGATCTTGATGATGATGGTAACAGCTCTTTGTCGACTAAATCGAGCACTTTACAAAAGATAAAAAGAGTCGGTAGAGTTGTGGGCCAGAATTGGAGACTGGAAAATTAAAAAATTAGCCAACCGCCAACTAAATTTTGGCTCTTAATTTTGGTCCACAATAATGTGATCAAGGGCTGAAGGAGATTGAACGTGTTGCAGGACTAAATGGGGCGGGTCTGGATGGATAGGTCCACGAACCGGAAAAATATTAAAGCATTAATTGAGATGACAAATGGGGTCGCCCGGGTTCGAACCGGAGACCTTCAGTGTGTTAGACTGACGTGATAACCAACTACACCACGACACCATTGGTGCTAATTCTTCTAGATTTTCGTATATAATCTGAACAACACTATGCTTCTATGACTTCAGCTTGGCCTGGGACAGTTGGACGTTAGAATTTGGTTTGCTTATTTACAGATGGACGTTAGAATTGTTCATGAATAATTTAAGAAATCAGCAAGAAAAGAAATATTATAACTAAAACACGGATGACCAAATTTGTTATAGGAAATTGTTTACCTAAATCTGCTAGTCTCTGTAATTAGGTCAAGAAATTATGTTAGTTTCTTTTTATGCGGAAGAAATTATGTTAGTTGTGAGCGTGCTAATAGATTCCAAATTTTCAATTCATTTACATTATGGAATATATTGAGTTCAAATGCTATATTCATTGTAAAATGAAAAACATAATCATTTACCAACTAGCTTTTTGTTCAGCGATAATTCTCTTCTCAAAAATATATACGATGTGATGAATAATATTATTTTTAAAAAGGGTAACATTACCTTGAAGTACTAGACAAAGGGGATTGACAATTGACAACTTTGACAAGTGCATACCACAGCAGGCAACATTGTGACATCAAACACACAAACATTGTAATAAACACCGCAAGAAACAGGTAAGCATTGAAGAGCAAGGCACCTCTCCTTGATGAATATATGAATAATTCTCTTTTGGTCTTGCATTGAATATTTGAAACCCAAGTAGTTGTTTCTTGTTTGTGGTAGTTAAGCGGCTCAAAAGAAAATGGAAAGGAAAAAAAATGAAGCAAAATCAATGCAAAGCCACCTTCTTTTTTGCTCTATCAATATCATCGCCCAAAGCTTTGTTCACTGTCTAAATTAGATAGGTGGCGGACTTTCCAACTCATTTCAAAACCAAAACAAACAAAACCCTCTCTTTTTTAGCTCCTTCTCTTCACTAAGAACCCAAATCTCTCTCAATTTCCTTGTATCTATTAAAACCGTATGTTCTTGTTTGGGAAATAGAGTTGGAGAGAGAGAGAGAGATCGTCATGGCTGGTATTGCTAGTCCTTGTTATTCTGGTGTGCTGTTTAGAGCAAGAGAAGCAGGAGGAAGCATTAATGGAGCTTCCATGGCACAGTTTGATGGCCTTAGGCAAGTGGAGAGCATGCATATGCCTGTAAATGGCAACAAGTCAAATGGGTTTGCTTTTACTTCAGGTAATTCAGTTCTGTTATTGTCAATTTCCATTTTCATTCTCTTTTATAATGCATAGCTAGGTTCATTATAGTTAAACAAGCCTAGACAAGACAGATTGAAATGACATTAATGGTCTTGTTTATAATGTACTTTGAGCTGCATGGTTGGATACTAGTTTTGTCAACACCAAGTTTTCATAAATTGGTTGCTTCCTTATATGGCTTTGCTAGTATTATATATGTTATCTTGGGAAATGTCAGTCTGGTCAATCTGAACTACTGATCATGGAGATTTTTGTATGAATTTGCGAGCTATAAGCAAAATGGATCATTCCATTAATTCAAACTGTCATCTTTGGGTTGTGAGGCACTTAGATTTGTTAAGGATGAGAAAAGTGAGTTTTTCCCAATTGGGTGTCCAGCTCTAAGTTTTGTTATCCATTCTCAGCACCAAAATGCAGGACAATCAAGGCCATGGCATCTCCAACTGTTTCTGCTCCGAAACGAGAAAAAGATCCCAAGAAACGAACTGTAATAACAGGAATGGGTCTAGTCTCAGTTTTTGGAAGTGACATTGATACATTTTACAACAACCTCCTGGAGGGAGAGAGTGGGATTACTCTGATAGATAGATTTGATGCTTCAAACTTCTCAGTTCGATTCGCGGGACAGATACGTGATTTCTCTTCTAAAGGATACATTGATGGGAAGAATGATCGCCGTCTTGATGATTGCTGGAGATACGGTATAGTTGCTGGCAAAAAGGCTCTTGAAGATGCCAGCCTTGGACCTCAAGTCCTTGAAACTGTCAGTCACATTCTAGTTTCTGTAAAATGCATTTCGGTTTTTCACCCATTATGACATTGAGCGCTTATATAATCCCTTGTCTTTATGTTTCACAGATGGACAGAACAAGGATTGGAGTGATTGTGGGGACTGGCATGGGAGGCTTAACTGCTTTTAGTGCTGGAGTGGAATCTCTTATTCAAAAGGGATACAAAAAGATTAGTCCATTTTTCATTCCTTACTCCATTACCAATATGGGGTCAGCTTTGTTAGCGATCGACACTGGCTTAATGGGACCCAATTACTCCATCTCTACTGCTTGTGCCACTGCAAACTACTGCTTTTATGCAGCTGCAAATCACATTCGAAGAGGTGAAGCAGATATTATGGTAGTTGGTGGGACTGAGGCTGCAGTCATGCCTACTGGTGTTGGTGGTTTCATTGCTTGCCGGGCTTTGTCTCAGAGAAATGATGAACCACACAGAGCTTCCAGGCCATGGGACAAAGATCGTGATGGTTTTGTTATGGGTGAAGGTGCTGGTGTACTGGTAATTGAAAAATCATAATATCATTCTTCTGCAGTGTGACTTCATGTATTTTAGTCCCAGCTTCTGATTCTGACTACATTTTGTCTGATATATATCCTGGCTGTTACTGATTTCTTTTTTCATTGAGGAAAGGTAATGGAGAGCTTGGAAAGCGCATTGAACAGAGGAGCACCGATAATTGCAGAGTACTTAGGAGGTGCCGTAACGTGTGATGCTCATCACATGACAGATCCTAGGTCAGATGGTCTTGGAGTATCATCTTGCATAACCAAGAGTTTAGAAGATGCTGGTGTTTCCCCTGAAGAGGTAAGAGCATTTGCTGATCTCCTAAATTAAGGAAGTCTTTGTTCCCCAATTGATTTATTTACGGCTATTCGAGATTCTGATTTAATGGACAAACATATAATTCACAGGTGAACTATGTGAATGCTCATGCAACATCCACACTAGCAGGGGATTTGGCTGAGTTTAGTGCAATCAAAAAGGTTTTCAAGGACACATCTGAGATCAAGATTAATGGGACCAAGGCAAGAACTCTGAATCTTTTATTTACACATTTACTCTTGATGAAATGATTTCAGTTGGATGTTAACAACCATTAACTGAAATATAGACTAATTTGCATTCTCAAAACAACCTGTGTTTCTTCTTTTCAAGGAAATAATATATCTGTTTGAAAATTATAGCATGCAGGCTAATTTTCACACTTAAAGCCTGGCAAGAAGATTTTTTCACACTCACTTTAATCACATGAAAATAGTGCATTTTAATTATCTTGTTCTTTTTTCTTCTTTCAGTCAATGATTGGACATGGTCTTGGGGCTGCTGGTGGATTGGAAGCCATTGCAACCATTAAAGCCATCAACACTGGCTGGCTCCACCCAACAATTAACCAAGATGTATTGCACCACAACCTTCAATTTCCATACTTTTGCTTCAATTAGCTCATTTAATTTTTTTTTAACTGCTATTCTGATTCAAATTCTTGTGATACTTGTGGCTCATAGAACTTGGAGCCTGCTGTTACAATCGACACCGTCCCCAACGTGAAGAAGCAACATGAGGTTAATGTTGGTAAGTGCCTTGACACTCTCACAAAGAAGCCAAAATATAGTCTCTGAGTTTCCTTGCATTCCAATCCATAGCTGTCTTGACTAATCAAAGATTTTCCACTTGCAGCTATCTCAAACTCATTTGGCTTTGGCGGGCACAATTCCGTGGTTGTGTTTGCCCCTTTCAGTCCCTAAACAACAACATTCAAGCCAAGAAGAAAAGCTTTACCTTCCCCTAATCTTTCTCGAATTAGAACCATTTGCTTCTGTGAGTGTTTCCACTTCTCTGAAGCATACAAGAGGCTATGAGTATGAGAATGAAGTGCACTGTGGAGAGTGCTCAAGCCCATGAAGCGCTTTTCACCATGTACAATTTTATCTCATCATGATCCTTGATGAGGCAGGATTTAGAGTTTTTAATTTTCTTTTCCATTGAATAAAAACATGAAATCCACTTTCTTTGTGCTGTTCTTGCCCAACAGTTGGGTCTGTTTTCTGATTTTTCCTGTTTGTAATGCAAATGAATTATTGAGGGAGTTCAAAACATAAATGGCCTAATTGTAGAAACAATTCTGGGCTTAAATAAAACATTCATTTCAATTCAATTGGGCTTTGTTTATTGAATTAGAATTTAACTAAGGGTGATTTCAGTCCATAAACAAGGTTCTTAGATTCATATTATTTTAAATCATGATATAAAATCTTTTTATAGGTTTTTAGATTATTCTTCTGACCCCAAAAAAAACCCATGGCTCTCATGTATAGCCATGATTAATTAAGTGTTGCCTTTTACTTTTGCATACAGATGGAAGGCCACTCTCTCACTAATAGTTTAATTTAATTAAGCCCAAGGAAAGTTCAAATCACAAGTAGAAAGATATGCCTTTCAACCACTAGCTGCAACTTGTTAGAGACCAAGGCCTTGTTAAATCATTTCACTCTAAATTAAAATTATAATCAGCTGAAGTTGCTTCTGAGGCTCTCAATGTGTGGATCGTATTAGCACCCCGATTAAATTAATTAACGCCGCTTTAGGCTGACATTAAAGTTTTAATCACTACAGTAAACCCACTTGCTCTTGGTGGTGCTGGCTGCTGTTCTTGTTGGTGAATCAGTGAAATGTGACCTACAAAACTATTAGCACATGGGTAACTTGATGTTGACAATTAGGACAGCTTTGCATCTCTTAATCTCTCTATTTAGTATATTAAACTAGGCCTTGTTAGTTGTTAACAGGCATATAATTATTTTAATCTTTTTCTAGTTCTAAAAGCTCACACTCTTAAGCCCCTTGATGTTGAAGCATCATAAGCTTTAGTATATTGTGTATAGGAATATGCCTCTAAAAAGATCCTCAGTTTACTTCAACAAAATTCTACGCTATCGTGTCTCATCTAACTTCCAATTATACGTCTCTCTAAAAAAAAATCAGATTAATATCCTATAATATATACATGGGTAACTTGATGTTGACAATTAGGACAGCTTTGCATCTCTTAATCTCTCTATTTAGTATATTAAACTAGGCCTTGTTAGTTGTTAACAGGCATATAATTATTTTAATCTTTTTCTAGTTCTAAAAGCTCACACTCTTAAGCCCCTTGATGTTGAAGCATCATAAGCTTTAGTATATTGTGTATAGGAATATGCCTCTAAAAAGATCCTCAGTTTACTTCAACAAAATTCTACGCTATCGTGTCCCATCTAACTTCCAATTATACGTCTCTCTAAAAAAAATCAGATTAATATCCTATAATCTATCAGAAAATGCTCATAAATTCATTATGGCCATTGCTGTCCATGGGAGCTTAAAATTTTGAAGAAAATAATAGAAAGGACAGTGGGCCAGCAACTTTGCTAATTTTGTTTTTCCTCAGACGCGCATGGTATTAAGATAGTACAGTGGAGGAGAAGGACCAACTGGGGAAGGCCAGATGACCCTACTAACCTCATAATTAATGGCAAAGATTTTCCTTGATGATTTTATTTCATGTAATTTAATAAAAAGACCCTAGAAAATGTGCCCATTAGTCACCACCCACAATCTGGAAATGCTGCCAAATTAAACCCATTTTGTTTTTCTTCTTCTTCTTCTTTTAACAAAGGACATGAACATAAAAACATGGTGGATGTTATAAAAATAAAATAAATAAATAACAGTAAGCTCCACTAAATAATTTTTCAGAAAATAAGCAAAAATCTATGGCAGCCTGCAGAGTGTTCAATTTTTATTTGACCAAGATTTAGTCAAATGCAGCCCAATTCATTTGGTTCAACGACTAATTATGTTTCATCCTCATACTGTTGGTAGGTAAGCTAACATTAAACTCTTCGACCTTAATTAATTTAATAATATAAAAAGAAAAACTAATGTAAACCTTATTTCCCCCACAAGCAAAGCCATAAAAAAATTTAGAATTAGCAGCTTAATTGGATTACACGCAAGTGCTTTCAGAAAAAAGCATTATTAGTGTGAGGAAAAATGTTCTTCCTCCTGCGCATGCTTATGAGATCCTCAGATTTTCCCATAAAATCTCAGCTTTGGATTTAATCCAAAACATTTGTTCTGTTTCTCATGGGCACCTAGAAGGTGGAAGAAAATAATAAAATTATGAAAATTAGTGCTTGAGTTTTATACACTTTTAGATGATTGAGTTGAGATATGAGCCTCTTAAAAATTTTCCCTCTCTCTCTGGGGCTTCTCTCTGAATTTGGATTGGAAAATGCCAGGAAGCTTATCAAGAGCTTGGGAAATGTTGGCATCCATGGGGCCTAATTTAAGCACTTAATTGATCCCCGATAGGTTTGTGATTGACCAATCAGAGCTTTGCAACATGGGATTTGACTTGACTAGTGATAAATAATCACGGTTGACCAATCTTCTTGTACTGATATGAGTTGCTTTGCATTATGTTGAGGCAGTTAAATTAGGAGGAATCTTTGCTTACTTAAAAGATAAATTTATTTTAAAATTTTCACTCATGGGATTGCTTGATTAAAGAAGTACATGTTTTTATTTTAAAAATACCAACTTATGGTGTGTGCTGCTTTACACGCGTGCGGATATTATAGTAGGGGTCATACATACTTCTTTATAGTGTATTTTGTCATGTTTATTAATCCGTAATTTGATTATGAGGAATTGAATTCAGGTGAATTAGATTCTGGATTCCTATTGAAGTTGTTTACTAAATCATATAGATTGAGGGGAGTTAGATTACAGACTCCTATTAAAGTTGTTTACTAAATCATATGGAATTGGGGAATGAGTGGTATTAATTACTAAAATGTCATCGTTGTTAGTTTAAAGTAGATGACAAATTTGAAAATTTGAAAATTGTGTGAGGACATAATGGGTAAAAAAAAATGAATTCCTAATGGGTTAGTTCTCCATGAATTAGAATACCACCTCCCACCCAAGAATTGAATTTCTCAAAAATTTTGTGTAAGCCCCACTTACTTTTTAATTCCTTGATGTGAGGTAAATGCAAGAATCCTCCATAAGTCGAATGTCATGATTAGTAAACACATCATTAGTAGAACTTGTTAAGTAATTGAACTAATCTAATATCAACAAAACTTCTAGCAAAACTTGGGCTCTCCATATACAAAGCCGCATCTCCTCCTTGTGGGGGAGAAGGTCTCTACCCCTCCCCTCCATCTCTCTTCCCTAGTTTTTTATTTTATTTCGCGGTTCGTGCTCGAGCTTTCCTGCTCGTTTTTGGGGCTTCTTGCCTATTTGCTGGGGCTTTTATGCTTGGGGCTTCATGCCTCCTATCTTTATTGTTCCCGCAAATCTTTACCATTCCATTCCGCTCAGTGTTATCCCTTGGTTGTTCTCTAATCGGTTCATGATTTCATTTATTGTAGCAGATAACCCGCAAAACGATTTCTCGAGATTATCTTGGAAGGTGTGTAGAGCCGCATCATTGCTATGACTTGGATGCTCGCACCACCTCCTTTCTGTCCTGATGGTTCTATTTGTTTTGCCTTGGGGTTGCCTTGAGTGTTGTTGGTTTATGGTAGATGTTTGGTGGTGCTTGTGCTTTTTTGTGGTTTTTAATTTGGTTAGTTTTTGTCAAATTTTAGTTTTGTTTATATGTTGATATCATTATCTGGGGTAGTATGTTGCTCATGTTTATCTGATATTGCAAATTAAATTTGTGCTTCCTTGTATTGCTGTATTTGTACCATCCTCTTGGTTGAGTTTTTCATAATGAAATTTCATCATTCAAAAAAAAAAAAATTCTCAACAAAACTTAGAAGTAGAAAGGAAAAAAAGAAGTTCAAAAACCACTTGTTACTTAATAATTGGATAAACCTTCAAAATCATATTGATGATTACTTGATAGGGACACATGAGAGCAGGGTGTTTTGAGGTCCCAAATCTCTGTTGCAAGTATCAAATTGTAAATTCCAAGACCAAAAATCCAGAAAATTTCAAGTCCACATCATTTCTTCTGGCCTCAAATGAGGTCCAAAGTTGAAAGTCCAAACTCACAACATGTGGGGCTGTGGGGACCAAAATCCTATTCACCTTTCTCTATCAATTCTTTTGTTTATAATAAAAAGAAAAATATATATATGCTTACATGGAAGCAATTCCAGGGTAGCTCTCCACCCACCCACAAGCTGAAAAATCAACCCCATTTGCCCCATGATTGTCTTCACATGGATTCCAACCCAAAACAAGTCTTTCTTTATTCTTTACAATGTATCCATAAACCCTTCCTTAATTTGCATTTCACTATTACAATTTTTCTGTTTTTGGTAGGGTACCCTTTTATATTTTTTTCTCTTTGGGTCATCAAGTAGGGTACCCTACCCTACATAATTCTCTCTTTTTTTTTGTTTTTTTGTGGGGGTAGTTTTCCAGAACCAAAGTCATATCATTTCATTTTTCGTGCGCAGGTGTGAGTGCAGCCAAGGAACACCAAGCAAATTGGTCTCCACATGGGGTGTGCATATACAATATCACAACCCCACCAATCCTGGTACTTTTCTCTCTCTTGTGACAAAAATTTGGAAAGAAATTAAAAGTTAAAAATGTTTTCTCTCTCTTTTGAAGCGCAATTAATTTAATAATGAGTTTTTTTTTTCCTTTAAGAATTCTTGTCTGTAGTTCATAGTGATAAGAGCGTTCCTGGTTTGAGGGGGTGTGGTGGGGCAAATGCCCAGCATGTCCCTTTCAGGACCCCAAGCCAAGAGTGGATCAACAGAAGCCTGTCTGAGGTCATCAAGATTAGAGCAGCCATTCTCAGATCTCATCCAAGCCTCACTTAATCATTTGGACTCTAGAATAAAAGCATGGATAAAACATACTATTTCTTTAAAATATGGCATTTAATACTAATCAAGAAAGAAGATTTAGCTCCTCTATGCGGAATGACGACCATCATCCAGTACTGCTATTTGTACTATATTTACTAGTTATGTTGTTCATCGTATCTTGTATATTAGTTGGTTTGGTTGTTACGCTTGAGTTTCACCACTGTAAATTTATTTAGTAACTTTCTAGTTTGTAGAGTTTTACTCAAATGACTATTTCTAACCACGCTTCAACTATTTTAGACTAAAAATTGCTCAATAAATAAACTAGTAACTATTTTGGAGTGCTAATAATATTTTCCGAGTCAAAAAGATTTTAAATAGGTCATTTCATGAAAATATGTTTGTTTTCGGTTTTACTAGTAGTTTGGTACAGCGATCTTCCTCCCACGCCTACTACAAGAGTTCGGTTTTTCATTCGACCCTTCAATAAAATGAGAAATTATAGCCTTATTATTATTTTTTCCCATTCCAAATATAGATGTGATATCTTGAACTTCCATTTTTAAACCAAGTATTATAATTTTTTATTTTCTTTAGGCGTTCTTTCTGATTATAATTTTCCTATTGATTCCTTAAGAAGGTATAATCCAAAAATTGAACAAAGTTTCCCATTCCCAATCTAATCACACTCAAAATACTAAATTCCCTAAACACATACTTCAAAACTAATATTATTATGTTATTGTAAAACACACCCAATTATTAGCACAAAGATAGTGCAATTATCATATTAAGAGGACAGGTGTCGGACAATAAAGTTACGTTTAAGAACCCTAATCTAAGTGATGGGGCCTAATTATGCAAAGACGACATAGAATAGGTACAGCCAAACACACACATAACCTAATTGTGATTGGCTTGTCCTTACTCTCGTCCACGTTCTCTAATGAAAAAAGGTTTAACAAAAGTAATTATAATTAAGACCCTAACCCAACCCAAACCCTCTGCGCTTATCGGCACCACTAATTCTATTCTTATTATAAACACCACAAATTGCTGAACAGATTTCACATTGCTTTCATCCAAATGGCATCCCCCACCAACACAAATTTCTAATCCAAATTTCATAATCTTAATTGTGATGATTAGTGTATATATAACCCTTGTTTTTCCTTTTTTTTTTGAAAATAATTAATTTAATTAAACCAAAAGGTAAACAACTCTTGGGTTTAAATTGCGTTGCCCTTTGCAAAAAGTTAATCACTCTTCTTCTTTTTTTTCTTCTTAATTTTATTTTAATATGTGCCCTTTGCAAAAAGTTAATCACTCTTAGCATCACCAAAGAGCCTAATTAATTATTTTTCTCCCGCAATTAGAAGCTCCATTATTTGCAGGGACTTCTTAATGACTCCACCTCTCCCACACACGCACACACACTTACTTACGCATCCCTCACTTTCATACTTGTACATTTTACTTGTCCTCACGCACTCATTTATTTTTTCTAACTCTTTTCTTCATTTTTTGTGTTGACTAGATGACCATGATCGATTCAACGAAGTGATGTTTCCAATCATGCAGGCCAAGCCATGGAACAACACCATGACCTTGTAATGCCACGGCCAAACATTGGGGAGGGGTTGGGGGTGGCCGGCCGGCCGGCTACCGGAGGCATGGGAGGAAGAGGATGCAAAGTGATTGATATAGCATAAAATAATGGAAGCAAAGTGATTGCAACAAGTCCAGGACCCAAAACCTTTGGATATTTTGCCATTACAATCAATCAATCTCAAGACTATATATATACTAAACATTGGTTCTAAAAAAAGAAAAGAAAATATATTTATAAAAAAAGAAGAAGAAAGAAGCTTAATACCATGTTATGTAAGACATTCAAAAAGATGGGATTAAATTAAATTAATGAGTGAATAAAGAGAGCATATGAAAGTGGTGTGTGTGGAAGGCATCTTGGATTTGATAAATGATATATTCATAAATGATAGAAATATTCTTGTAGGGGGACAGAGAGTTGCTTAAGTTGTTAAAGATGCAAAGTAGGGGGAGGAAGACTAAGATTAGATTAGTCATTTGTTTAAACCAAAGGTGGGTTTTAAACAAATCCTCACTTCCTTTTCATTGTTCTTCCCAGAGAGGGGAGAGGTAAAGCACCCTAATCTGACGTAACATGCATACTTTCTTTCTCATTGTTTTTTTTTTTTTTTTTTTTACAATTTACTGTGATTGTCAAGCTTGTTGGTTGGTACTTTTTACATCATTTTGTTTTTAATATAAAGATTTCAATGTTCATGTATTATATACAAAAAGACTGTTACATTCTTTCCACACCAAACAAATAGTAAATAAGCACAATCTTAGTTAGGATGCCCATGTAAGAGTTTCTTTGATTCTGCATGATCGTTAATGAAAGCACACCAAATTGTATTAATTTTGATGTTAAATCGCTCTGTTATTGTAATGATCCTTTGTGGCTAATAGCTTTTTTGGCTGAATTATAAATGCAATCCTAGAATTTCTAAAAAAAATAAGCATTTACTCTCCTTGTCCTAAATCACAGTTAATTCGAACATTTCATTCTCCTATTGGTATCTCTCATAAAAGTAAAATAAAAAGTACTTATTCTCAAATCCACCAGAGCTCAATTCTCAACATCAATTTCCATTGAACCAAAGAATGAGAGCGAATAGACTTTATTCTAGTTTATTGGTAAGTTACCTATAATTTGACGGGGATGCTTCACACGATAATCCATTGTGATTAGTTAAAAGATAGTTAATTGTGGGAGTTTATAGATTCAATGGTTGTGATTTATATACCTCTCAAGGCTAAAGTTTGAATTTCGACGGCCTCTGGTGGTTTGGCCTCATTTGTAGGAAAAAAGAAGACAACTAATTGCTTAGTAATTTTGAATAACTGATTGTAAGTCTTTATGCGGATTGGGGCACTCTAATTTTCTAAGTTTATTTGTGATCAAACTAATATTGTTTTAGTAACATGTATCGTCTAGTTAAAATATGTCATACGAACAAATTTGTATTGATAATTCAAATATGTAAGATGTGGCACATTTCAAGTGAAACGACATGATGTTAGGTTCACCAAAAACAACACTATGTTAGGTGTAGATGTGCTTTGAATGTTCTCGTCATAATTAGACATAAGAAAAATATTATGTGGAAACTAAAGAGAGGAAATGTAATTACACTTGGCCAATTATGTTAGGTTTATCCAATTGCGCATATTGAGTGATATGCATCGTCCAATTAAAATATATCATGTGTTTACTAAAGAAAAATCATGTAATGATAATTTTTTATTATCTATAAGACTCTATATATATTTTTTGGAATACGTGTCACTCAACTTATTACGTAACAGAGATATCTCCACTTAGTTTTTCTTATGTAAAAACGACATCATGTTAAGTTTAGTCGTGCTTTGAGATTTGAAAACAAAAATGTTCTCTTATCATACTTAGGTAAAAAGCTACATGGAAGCAAAAAGTAGAAACATGTAATCATGTGATGCGTGAGTTTTCCACATCCCGCAAATTAAGAGACATTTTGTGTTTACCTGAAATATGTAACATGTTGTCTTTTAACTCGATGATACATGTCACGTGATAAGTAGCTCATCATCCAAGTTATTTTAAAAATGAAAATGTTGCTTTGAGGAGACAAAAAAAAATTACATGGAAAGTTAAAGAGAGGAAATGTAATTACACGTGGAAGTGGGACCCACAGGTTTACCCACTCACGTGGAGCCGCAAATGGGACTCTGCTGACGTGCATGAACAAGGACCACCGAACCGCTCGCAGATTGTCTGGGAAAGAAAGAAAAGGTGAAAAAAACCGATCAAGATCTAAACGCTTACCACGTGTTCAGGCGGGCCCCACTCCCATCACGAAGTGGCATGTAACGTAATTATCAACCCAAAAGGTCCAAAAAAAGCAATTAATTCTAACCTCCACGAAAACCCAAAAATTAACAAAAAAAAATAATATATATTTAAAATTTAAAATCCCACCCCAAAATTCTGCCGGGTTAACTCGAGCCAACCCTGTTGCCTGCTTCGAAGCAGACAACGAAAGGGACGGCGACAAACGGAACGGCACTCAACTTAACGGACCTCCGTTACCTCAAACCGCACGCATTCCGAAGCGCCGTTCACATCACCAAATCATTGATAATTGAATTATAACATCCGTTACGAAACGCCGTCGTGTCCCTGCTCCTTTACACCACTCCGGGGGCCCCATCTCTCCGTTAGGCGTTCCGTCCAGTTAACCCCCCTCCGGTTAACCCTTAACTACGGTTAGTTCGGTTCCAACTGTTACACAGAAAGGAAGAGAGAGAGAGAGAGGGTCAGAGTTAAAGCAAACAAAGTCTCGCGTATAATAAGACGCGCGCAAAGCGGTTTGGGGATTCTCTGTAACGGCGTTTTCTTCACACCTGGATTCCCTAGAGAGAGAGAGAGAGAGAGTGCGTGAAGAGTGTGAGGGTTTTTTAGAGAGAGAAGTGAGAGAGGCAGAAGCGGTTTTGCGAGCAGAGATGGTGGTATTGTAACGGTTGCAGAGAGAGGGGATTGGTGGTTTTGCGTAACGGTTTTTCGATCAGCGAGAAAAAGCGGTTGTGCTTGTGGTGGTGGGAGCTCTGTGATTAAAATCGTATTAACGGCTGATTAAGAGTCATTATTGGTCGTTTTATTATGCTTAATTATAAGTATACATTCAGCTCAACTTTGTCTGCTTAGACCCAGAGAGAGACAGATAGAGGGAGAGAGATAGAGAGATAGAGAGAGAACGAGAGGGAGAGGGAGAAGGAGAGAGAACCGAGAGATTATCTGAGCTTTGTTGGGGCATTTTTGGAATTTGCTGACTCAGGAGAGTTCGAGTTTCAGCGATGGCGAATCGAGAAGGTGAAATGGCCGTTGATTTTCTCTCATTTTCTCAGACTTTCTTTCATTTTCTCGGAAAATAAATATAATTTCTGCTCTCTTTTTAGGGGGCGTTTGTTTTGCAGGTGGTGATCTGTATCCGGAGCTATGGAAGGCCTGTGCGGGCCCACTCGTTGAAGTCCCTCGCAGCAACGAGAGAGTCTTCTACTTTCCACAGGGGCACATGGAACAGGTAAATTTTACTTCTTGCTCTTTCGTTTTTCGTTTTTTTATTTTTAACTTCGTTTTTCTGTTTATGGGGTGTTTTCTTTTCGTTGAAATTGAAGAACTTTTTGCCATTTTGGGGTTTTCTTTTGGTGTGTATATAGTTGGAGGCATCATCACCAACAAATAAGGAACTGAATCAGGAGATTCCTCAGTTTAATCTTCCCTCAAAGATTCTCTGTCGCGTCCTTAACATTAACCTCATGGTATTCCTTCTTTCTCATCTTATTACTTGTTAATCCTCTTATTTCCCTGTTTTTTTCTTCTTCTAAATTCTGTTTGGTTACTGAGAAAATGAAGGATGGGAAGTAGTAAGCCTCTGTTTCTGATTGCGGAAAAATGATAAGTTAGATCAGCTGGATCCGTTAGTTGATTTTAGCTCCAGCTGATCAGGAGTCCTAATAATTGGAAAGTCTCCAACTTTATAACTAGTTGAAATATATTTTTCATTTCCTGTGTTTTCTCAGAAACCAAACAAGTCAGGAATAATTTGTGAAAGTTGGTTATTTGGCAATAATTTACATTGAGTTTTCTGCAATTTTAGGCTGAACAAGAAACAGACGAGGTTTACGCACAGATTACTTTACTACCCGACACAAATGTAAGAACCAATTGAGCTGCTTTCATATTTTAACAGCTTTCAATATTTGGGCAGCACTTTCTTTGTCACTACTGTTTTTTAATAGTGTTAGTATTTATATGTTTAGCAAGCCGAGCCTACTAGCCCTGATCCGAGTCTTCCTGAACCTCAAAGATCTACAGTTCACTCATTCTGCAAGATCTTAACTGCTTCAGATACAAGTACCCATGGTGGCTTTTCTGTTCTACGGAAACATGCCACTGAATGTCTTCCTCCACTGGTATTTATTTTGCCCGTTGTACCTTTTTGTTGGCTTTTCTTTCTATATTTTCGTTGATGTTGATTTCCATGCCTGTGTCTTCTCTTCCAGGACATGACCCAGGCAACCCCAACTCAGGAATTGGTTGCCAGGGATCTTCATGGTTATGAATGGCGGTTTAAGCATATTTTCAGAGGTGAGTGCCTCATCTGCTTTGCACTCTTGCAGTTGTCCCAAATGTGTGATTTCATAACAATTAAGAAGAGATGTAATTTTTTCATTTCTCATGAGTTGGACAGTCAGTCTTGTATGTAAAAATTCAGACACGCTGAGTGATAGAATATTATAAGCATATTAATCAATCCTCACTCATGGTTCCTCATTCTGTGATTAACTGAGCAGGTCAGCCGCGTAGGCACTTGCTTACAACAGGATGGAGCACTTTTGTTACTTCTAAGAGGTTAAGTGCCGGGGATTCCTTTGTTTTTCTCAGGTATACATTTTCTTTTGTTCTTATCTCTTTTTTCTTGCTTTCTTTTTATCAGTCGTCATCTAAATCTAACACTGTGTAGCCTGGAAAAAAGAATTTTCTAGTAGGAGGGTACATGGGGCATATATAATTTTATCTAATACATATAAAATTGGTGGCTCAGAGGGGGCAATGGGGAGTTGCGTGTTGGAGTTCGGCGTCTTGCTCGTCAGCAGAGCAGCATGCCATCATCTGTGATCTCAAGTCAAAGCATGCATGTAGGGGTGCTTGCAACTGCAACCCATGCTGTTGCAACCCAAACTCTCTTTGTAGTCTATTATAAGCCAAGGTTTGTGTTATTTTATTAGACCTGATGAACTTAAAATGATTTTTTTTTTTGTATTGAATTATTTGCATGGGATTTCTCATATTCTTTCATGATTTCCTTTAAAATGTCCAGGACGAGCCAGTTCATTATCGGCTTAAATAAGTATCTGGAGGCCGTCAACAACAAGTTTTCCGTCGGCATGAGATTCAAGATGAGGTTTGAGGGGGAGGATGCTCCTGAGAGAAGGTAGAAGTCTAATACAGGATTTCCGTAGTATTTTTTCCCTTTAAATTTGTTTATGAGTTTTCTGATGCTCTTTGATTTTTCAGGTTTTCGGGCACAATAATTGGTCTGGAAGATATATCTTCTCATTGGTCACATTCAAAATGGCGGTCACTTAAAGTAAACTTTTCTTATCATTTCCCTTTTTTTTTTCTTGTTATCTTGTCCCTCTCTCCCTTCTTGCTCCTTTCCCTATCTCAAATGAAAATCAGGCATCAATTTGCTCTTCTGAAATATCTTCCAGGTTCATTGGGATGAGTCTGCATCAGTTCCAAGGCCTGATAGGGTATCTCCTTGGGAGATAGAACCTTTTGTGGCTTCTATACCTGCAAGTGTTCCTCAACCATCTGCAGTGAAGAACAAACGGCCTCGACCAGCTGCTGAAATTCCAGCCCTCGGTAAGAACCTTTTACTTTCTGTTTCCTCCCCCTTCCCCTTTTTTCTTTGTTTTGGACTAGATAAGTTTTATTTTTATTTTTAATATTTTGTAATTAGTTTATTTTATTTTTATAATTCTGACCTTTTCTTTTATTTGGATAATAGATGCTACGAGTTCAACTGCACCAGCTCTCTGGAATTCTGGGTTGACGCAGTCTCATGACATGTCACCACCGAGTGTTGCTACTGAAGGCAAAAGAAGTGAAAACCATGCTCTATGGCATCATCAACAGGCAGACGTGATCAGCAATAACAACTCTATCTCAAGGACTCAGACTGATGGGGGATGGCTATCTCAGACAGGTGGTTCTAAGCTTATGTTTCAGGATGCAATGGACGATACTAAATTTTTTTCTGCTGGCACTGTTTTCTCTGGATATTCAACTCCAAACTCATCAAAGCTGAAAAATGACTCAATGTGTGACCATGTTGAAAATGTGAAGAAAACTGAGACAGCCACTAGTTGCCGAATTTTTGGTATAGAGTTTTTTAATCATTCTGCAAGCTCCCCATCTATGGAGAAGACACCTCTACAACCAATCAGTGCATCTACTGGAACCACTGAAGGACGTGTTAGTAACTCGTTGGCAGCTGAGTCAGACCAGAAATCTGACGTTTCAAAGGCTTCTAAAGAAAGCAAACCTGGACAGTTGCAAGTATCCTTGAAAGAGACACAGGCCAAGCAGAGTTGCTCCACATCCACCAGAAGTCGCACCAAGGTGCTCAAAGTAGATTTTGTTTATGTTTTTTGAATTATGTATATTCAATATTTGGTAGACGATTTAGCTGAGTACTGATTTATGGTGTTTGTATATCCCAAAAGGTTCAAATGCAGGGGATGGCTGTTGGCCGAGCAGTGGACTTGACAATATTGGAAGGATATGACCAGCTTATAGATGAACTGGAGGAGATGTTTGATATCAAGGGACAGATTCACCCCGGTAACATATGGCAGATTGTCTTTACTGATAATGAAGGAGACATGATGCTTATGGGTGACGACCCGTGGGCGTAAGTATTCTTTATTGCAACAAAGCGTTTGTGTTTGGAATTTTTTAATGTGTGCCTTTGGTTATATTTAAATCCTCCGTGTCATTTTCTTTGCAGGGAATTCTGTGACATGGTGAAGAGAATCTTCATATGTTCAAGTCAGGACGTGAAGAAAATTAGTGCAGGGTGCAAACTTCCATTGTCTTCGCTAGAAGTTGAAGGAACCGTAACAAGCTCGGACTAACATCTCAATGGCTGGTTGTTCCTTTTTCGTTGTCTCTTTTGTTTCGTTCGATTTTTGGGGCATGTCTTTTGGTTGTTTGTTTGTGGAGGAGAGACTTAATTTTGGGCAAAGGGAAGAAGAAGTTGGGAAGTTGGAAGAAGGAAAGAGGACGTCGGCTAATTGATAGCTCGTTTTTTAGAGCTAACTCTAGACATTTGACTGGAAACTAAAAGAGGCCTAATGCAGCAGCAGCATCTGTTTGGTAGTGGGTAGGATTTAGAATCTGTGAATACTTAAAAGCTATTTGTGGTGCAGTTGGGTTTGGGGTTTGGGGTTTTGGGATGGGGAGTCTTTGTTCCATGTTGTTGTTGTTGTAAATATTTATGTACCTGTTTACTTTGGCAGTGTAATCTTTTGGACGTTAGTGAGTGACAGTATGCAGTATGCAATCTTCTGTTGCTGTGTTTAGATTTGAATGATTTATAATAATCTGTACCATTTGTTTTCTTCCCATCAAAATTTGTTCATGAGTCCACGCAAAATACTAATGCCGGACCTTTTTCTATCCCTTTAAAAAAAAAAAAAGGAAAACGAAGCTGCATCTACAATAAAACAAATTGAGGCCCCATAACTTTAGGCTGGGGCAAAGGGCTTCTTCAAGCTTGATTTGGACCAAGAATTTGGATGAAAAGTTCAATTTGGATCGAAATTAATAACAGGGTTGAGCACAATTATATTATTAAAAGTTTTTTTCACTACATAAGTAACATTGATAAATGATACATACCACTAAGGCCAAGTTGATCGATCACATCGCCTTAGTATTTTTTTGAATACTAGTGATAGTCTAAAATACAAGATGAATGAGGTTTTTTACATACACACACACACAAACAAACACTACCAAGGTTTCATGGGTGTACAAGCCCGAGACCATTGGTCTACAAATCAATGCCATTTTTCACTAGGCTTTTTAGTCTCAAATTTGCTAGGCCTACACATAAAAGACGTGATAATGTTGTATTTGTTCAATTGAGGTTCCCACAAGATCGCTATGGCTTATGTTAGTGAATCTAAAAAATTAGAGAAGCCAAAGAACTCAGGTTTTCTGGTGATGTCGAACAACAAGCAAGAGTTTGATGAATACATTAAAGAAGATGATGTCGTGTAACCTGTGTATGTGAATGGGTTGTTGGCTGTCTTGTCAAAGGGTGTATCTTGCCCCAAAGAGGTAAATTTTTTATTTATTGATTTTTAGGAGTTGATTTCAGATGATTGACATGATGAGCTACCACCTATGAGAGATATACAACATCAAATTGATTTGGCGCTAAGAGCTAGTATTCCCAATCTGCCCCACTACCGTATGAGCCCTAAAGAAAATGAGATTCTTGGAGAAAAGATAGAAGATTTACTCAATAAAAGGGTTTATCCGAGAAAGTATGAGTCCGTGTGCAGTTCTTGTATTGTTGGTATCGAAGAAGAACATTACATGGCCCATGTGTGTAGATAGTCGTGCAATCAAAAAAATCACCATTAAGTACAAACTTCCAATTCCACGCCTGGAGGACATGCTCGATGTTCTGGAGGGCTCTAAAGTGTTTTCCAAAATTGATTTGAGGAGTGGTTACCACCAGGTTCAGATCAAACCTGAAGATGAGTGGAAAACAGCTTTTAAGAGCAATGATGGATTGTACGAATGGTTAGTGATGCCGTTTGGATTGTCAAACACATCGAGCACATTTATGAGGCTTATTAATCAGGTTATGCGTCCCTTTATTGGTTCATTTGTTGTAGTTTATTTTGATGACATTCTAATTTACAACAAAACCAATGAGGAGCATCTGATACATTTGAAGGAGGTTTTGAAGGTTCTGCAAGAGAACAAGCTATTTATTTACCTGAAAAAGGGTACTTTCGTTGCAAACAAGTTACTTTTTCTGAGTTATGTTGTTAGTACATATGGTATCCACGTGGATGACGATAAGGTGCGAGCTATTCAGGAGTGGCTTACCCTGAAAATAGACAGTGATGTGAGGAGTTTCCATGGCTTTGCCACCTTTTACAGGCGTTTTGTTCGACATTTCAGTACCCAGACTGCACCAATTACTGAATGCCTAAAATGTGAAAATTTTAATTGGGGTGAAGAGCAAGAGCAAAGCTTTGCCCTCATTACAGAAAAGTTGAGCACAACATTGGTTCTAGCCCTTCCCAACTTTGAGAAGATATTTGAGGTCAAATGTCATGCGAGTGGAGTGGGTGTTGGAGCTATTTTGTCTCAAGAGAAGAGACCGGTTGCATTTTTATAAAACAAACTCAGTGAAGCACGTTAAAAATGGAGCACTTATGACCAGGAGGAGCGTTATTTTTTGCCATACTTGAAGCGAGATGTCAGCACTATTGTGTGGAAGTGCTACAACTATCAGGTATCTAAAGGACAGTCCCATAAAATATTGGTCTTTATATGCCTTTCCATGTCCCTGATGATATTTGGCAATACTTATCTATGGATTTTGTTCTAGGACTCCTTCGTACACAACGATGAGTCGATTATGTTTTGTAGTGGTTGACAGGTTTTCCAAGATAACACACTTTATTGCTTGTAAGAAGACTGCAGATGCTTCCAATATAGCCAAATTGTTTTTCAGGGAGGTTGTGTGGTTGCATGGTGTTCCTAAATCTATTACATCAGACTTTGACACCAAATTCTTTAGCCACTTTTGGATAACCTTGTGAAGGATGTTTGGTATAGATTTGAATTGTAGTAGCACCACACATCCGCGGACAAATGGTCAAACTGAGATTACCAACAGAACCCTCAGAAACATGGTTAAGAGCATTTGTGGAGACATGCCAAAGCAATGGGAAGTTGCACTGCCACATGTGGAGTTTGCTTACAACAGTGATGTTCATTTTTCCACAGGAAAATCACCATTTGCCATTGTTTACACTTCGGTGCCTAGGCATGTGGTTGACCTGGTCAAGCTTCCAAGGGCCCAGAAGACTAGTGTAGCTACTGAAAATATGGCTAAATAGGTTCAGATTGCGAGGGAAGAAGTGAAGGAAAAACTAGAGAGGACCAAAACCAAATTTAAAGTCATCGCTAACAAGTGCCGTCGTGTGAAGTTGTTCCAGGAAGGAGACTCCGTGATGGTTTACTTAAGGAGAGAACGTTTCCCAATTGGTACCTACAACTAACTGAAACCTCGGAAGTATGGCCCTTACAAAGTTTTGAAGAAGATAAACGACAATGCCTATGTTGTGTATCTTCGTTATTCCATGGGCATATCAAGCACTTTCAATGTTGCGGATCTACATGAGTTCCATGACGATGAGTCAATTTATTCTGATGATAACTCGGGGTCGAGTTCTTCGGAAGTGGAAGGGACTGATGTAGAACAAATGGTGGAAGCAATCAAAGAGGAGCTGGAGACACGCACCTGCAAGGGCAAATCGTGCAAATTGCAGATTTGGGCTATGAGCTCAGAATCGGGCCCATGACCAGTCAATTCGAAGAGAATAGCGTCACGAGAAAAACTCATTGCTTTACCATTATGTATGGGTTTTTCCAGGCATCCGAGATCATTTAGTAGCCCGAAATCTAGTTTTAAAATTTTTACAGTTTTTGGAAACTTTGTTATTTTCCTATTTTAATTCATTTGTTTATTCCTATGGTTTTTAGGAGTATTTATAGGGACCAGTGGACCACCGTTTTGTTTTACTAATTTGGAAGAAAGCCTGTCTTTCATCCATATAAGGTCAGCATCGTCTTTGACCAAAAAAAGAAAGAGACCTTGCGTTCATTGGTTCTCGTCGGTTGGCCTTGCCGTTGGGTTTAGGGAGCTGCATGCTCTCTCTCTTTGACACTCTAGTCTGCCCCACTGCTAAGCTTTCTACCATCTCCTCCTCCACCCAGTCATTGCGTCTTTTGTTGCTGTTGTTGTTATTGTTGTCGTCGTTGTTATCGAGTTCACTAAAAAGAAGATGAAAGCCAGTTACATCAAAGGATTATAAGACTAGCTAGTGGTTAGAACGTAACAGAATCTACAATTATGCTCTCTATTTTGTAGTTAAAATTTATATAAAAATATATAAAAAAACTATTTTAGGAGCTCTCCATAAAATTTTAACTCCAATCATACTCTCTAATTTAGTTTTTCATAAATGCTATAACTCTTTTTTAATTGGTCAATCTCTATAAAAATAATATAAAAAATAATTAGCATTAATTAAAGATTTAAAATACTCATAAAATAAAGCAGCATTAAATTATAAGGAGTTATTAGGAGTTTTTTTTTTCTCTCCTCATATTTAGGAGCTCCTAGAGATCTCCCAATTTTAGAAGGTGGATAAGGAGTATGGTTGGAGTTGTATTTTTTCAAATCCTCCTAAAATTTATTTAAAGAGGTAATTTAGGAAACTCATTGTGGATGCTCTAACGTAAATAAATTCTCAGATGTTTGAGAAAGACATATCCTCTTGCTATACTGGCCCATGAAAACAAGGACATCCTCACATCATCGTTGGCCCTGCCCACCACCATCACCCTCGTCAAAATAATTGAGTCAGGCCCAGGGCCAAGTGGGAGTGTGACTACGACCACAACTAGCCGTAGACATATCGACTACTCTCTTAGAATGCAGGAAAATTAAACACAGGACCTCGGTGGCAGATGCCGATCCTCCTAGTCACTTGATCTATAAGCCGTTTGCAACATATATACATCTTTTTATAATAAAAATCAAACTTCCGAAAATCTGTAAGCTGTTTACATGGATCTCATTCTTATGAAAACTCCATACCAAGAAGATATAAACACTCAAGAACCACACGACCTCAATAAAATCAGTTTCTTTTTTCTTCACAAAATTGAATTAAAAGAAAGACATAAATAATACTATATATACTATTATCTTTCTGGGAGGCAATAACTTTTCTTTTTAATAATTTTGTTTTTTATTGAAAAGATTTTTCTTAGAGCATCTTCAACTGATGTGTCAAAAGTGCCACGTAGACATTTAACGGCTAGATATAACATCTCACATCACTCCAACCGATGTATCAAAGCTGATGTGGAATGAAGGCTGGAAGTTGAGATGTTATTTTTGACATCCCAAAAACAAAATGTCAAATGAATATTTTATTCTTGGCCAGGATCCAGAAATTATGAAATTTGGGAGGTTGATACTTTCCATTCTCCAACGCACATTATTTTTCAATTCTTGGCCTCAGCTCCATTTGATAATGCTATCTTCAATTATTCTGTGCTCAAATTCTAACAGTCAACCAGATCACTCATACTAAGCTACAGCCACACTGTCAATTGACTGGTAGAACATGATTTGTTTCATTCATGGCCTGATTTTTATTAAAATAATAATCAAAATTCACTACTAGATAAATATTCAATGAGTATGGGTATTAGTGTCCACAAATATGATTTGTATCAGCATTTTCAGTGCCTAATATATTAAAAGAC